GCATTGTTTTGTCAACGTTCTCATCTTTGCTGTGTGATAGTCACTATTACTGGAGGCCTCATCTCTAAGGCAGTGATATTGGGAGGAAACTAGGGAAATATTTGTAGCCTAAGTGTTGTTTAATCTGTTTCACAGAGATGCCTGTAATGGCAGTTCCCTTCAGGAAGCCGTTTTGTGTTACGGCCTTTAGCTTTTCTAATGCCAAGAACCCTGGCTGTTCTCCAAAACCAAGCTAGATTTTTTTTTTTCGTATTAAATTAAATCATTAGGGCGAGTTAGAACTAATTTAGAAAATGTTTACTAGAGAACATAGATGAGTGAAATGTTTCCTGCCATCTAAGAGTTTCTTGTCTAAAGGTAGTGTAAGAAAGTTCCACAGATAATATCATGAAGAGAGTGAAATATCCTCCAATTTCAGAGAAGGGAAAGTTCCATGTAACTTGGGATGTCAAGAAAATAATGTTTGATTTGTGTCTGTTTTCCTCTTTGTTTTGAGAGGTGGGCTTTTGTTGGGGGTGAGCTCCAGGGAGAGTTCTGTGGGGGAAATGGCAGAGGTTGGAGGCTGGAGGCACAGGCGAGGGCAGGTGCAGCTGTAACTTAACTTGCCTTAGGAGGACTGCAGCCAGCCTAAAGCAGTTAGAATTGGGAGCCTGCAGATATCACTGTGAGACAAAGGTAAGGCACACCTGGAGAGGCCCTGAATAAAAGCCTCTGGGATAGGCAGTAGGGAGCTAGTGAAGGCTTTTGAACTTTAGAATGAAATGACAGCTACACTTAAGGGAGAGTCAGTCTTGTAGCACTGATTTATGAACCTGGGGGAAGAGAGCCTCCAGGTGGAACTAGAAGGTGTCAGATTGTCTGGTTACTTTAGGGGGCGAGACTCTTGGCAAGTTAATGCACTTCTCAATGCCTCAGTGTCCTCCTCTGTAAAATGGGAATAATGATACTCATGCAGTTTTGTGAGGATTAAATTAACTCGTGCTGACTGCTTAACAAGTGCTCCACAAGTCTTAAGCTGTATAGCCCGTTGCTGTTCTTACCCAGAGGCCCTGGAATGAAAGCCTCCACTGTTGGAAAGGAAATGGGTGACATCCGTAGGGAATTTATTTGATGTTTATGATTTTTTATTATTATTATATGTCTCTATGTAAGTTGGTTGCATTTCTCTAATTTGATTCTTTGTTGTTACATGTGGCTCATAATACCTTTTTAGGTGACAGAACAGTAACCTTCTAACATGATTTTCTTCTAGGCTTTCATCATATTGGATTATTCTTTCACGTATGTGACAATTTGAAAGTTGGCTGGGTATTAGTGTCGGTATGTTAGGACAATACGTCTTTACTACGATGATAAAAATGGAATTGCAAACCTCTTTTCAAGTCGAAAGCCGGTTAAGTATGAAAAGGTGAGGTTATTGTAAGTGAAGAGAAGTGGGAAAATAGAAGTTTATGGTTAAACAACAGAAAGGTGCTTTACAGGCTGTGGCACTTTCTATATTTCTCTAAAGCAGTAGGTAGCACTGTGTGGTGTGGTTTACGTCAATAAAACGTGTCCTCTTCTGGCGACAACTGCTATATGGTATAGGATGAGCACTGGAATTGAATTTTTGATACACCAATTAATTTACCTGGATTAAAATAATTAGCAGATTTTTTTCCCGCATCAACAATTTAAGCATGAGATTTGCATAGAGAGCGGGCATGCTTGTCACCGAGTTCACTGTTCTTACCACATACAACTATTTTCTGAGTCTTGTGTAAATTAAATGCACATAATGTAAATGTAGTTGGTTCAGCTGTATAGTGCCGCCTGTTAGTGAGTGGCAGGATGTACATATCTGTTTGCTAGGATTTTGGTTTACCTCTTAGGGCACTTATTCTGACAGCAACTCCTTTGTCTGTCTGTGTCTGACACACACGCGCTCTTTTTGTGTGTGTATGTGTGAGCAGGTGCCCTGTGGCGCATACACAGATGGCTCTTTGCTGTTATTTAGCTACAGGCAGAACTCATGTGGGGTAGATTTTTCTTTTCCTCATTGTCTCTGTCTAGTGTTAGAAAACATAAGAAACAGTTGCTGCCTTCTGGAAGTTTAGTTCTTATGACTTTACCTCTTATGTAAATAAATGCACTTGTTTCATGATACTCCTTTAGTTCCTGATACCTAATTTTTTTTCCTTCCTGAAAAAAGAATGATGAAAACTGTTACAGAAGGGGAGCTACTTGGAGAAGCTCAGACTGATACTTTTGATGGGTGGTTTGAAGTTTAGGGAAAATGCCAGGTGTAACCACCTCACAGCAGGGCCCTGTTCACGTGGATGTCTACACTGGCCGCTTCCCTCTCCAGATGATTGCCTCCTACTTCTGAGTGGGACTGTCCAGTGCTGTTTTTGGAGTAAAATTAGGCTCTGGTTTCTGCACCTGCCATAAGAATTAGTTTATTCCTCCCTATAATCCTAGACAGCCACCTTCCTATTCTTAATCCTACCAGCTTCCTGCCTTATTTTCTGTCTGTTTTGGACTAGCTCAACTTCATCCTGTGTGTTATTGAAACGACATGCCCTACAGTTCAGCTGAAATAAAGCAAGAATTTTAGCAGAGAAATGTGATCTCGGATGAAGTCAGACATAAATCCAGCTTGGTGTGTCCAAGGTTTACTTAATTAATCTGTGGAAATGCATCTGCTTCCAACCACTCTGCTCCTTCTTTACATAATATCCGGCTTCGCTGTCTTGTAGCCAGAAAATAATGCCACTGCGATACCAGAACGATGGTATTGAACTGCGATGAACCATTCCGAATTGTGAGATTCTGTAATATCACTTTCATGATGAACATCTTCTTTAACCCACAGTTGTCCCCAAATTAAGCACTTTTAGAATAATGAGAGTTAATCATATGTGTGTTCAGGTAAAATAGAGAAAAATCATGTTGCATTTGTAGATGTCATGCATTTACACAAGAATTTGAAGGGATCACTGTTATTTGACATCAATTGGTAATACCTGCTTATGCTTCAGTCATAAAAATTATAAAGAAGTAGGAGTATTTTTCAATGCTAGTGGAATGCTTGTATTTAAATGCTTGCGTATGTATTTGAAGTTTTTTTCTAGGAGTAGGACAGGCCAGCCAGGCAACTTGTCAGGCTCTGGCACATTTTATCTGGAATATTCATCCAATCAGAAAGTGGAAATAATTGGGACCATTCTCTTCCAGTACAATACAAGGTGATTGAAATTCATAAGGATAAGCATTATACACATAGCCAAAGTGCTTTAAATCATTAAAGAAAGATTAAAATGATGTTCAGTGTGACTTAGTATGTTTATTTCACCACTTTGCACCCAGGGCCTGTCATGGTCCTGGGTGATTTCGACCTGCCAGCAGCCCTCACAGCCCGTGACCCCTCCACCCCGCTTTACCCTTGATGGCCACACCCTACACCTTGTCATCTCCTGGAACGGCTTCTCCTGGGGTGAAATCATCATTTAGTCATCTCTCTCGAACCACAGCCTCTAGTCTTTCACTTTCTCTCCCTTGGCGGTACCCATACTTGGACTTCTGGGGGGCCTCCAGGCCATGGATCCCTTGGCTTTCCCCTTGTTTCCATCTCCTTCCTGCCTTCCCTTCCTTTCCTGACCGCCAAGCCCCATGGTGTCCATCACTTCAGTGGGGCCCTGTCAGTATCCCCCACTCCTTCTGTCCCCACTGTTTTTCTGGCTCGCCTGCCTGGAAAGCCTGCATCGCTGCAGCAAGCCAACTGCCCTTTCTTCACACACATTTGGGCTGCTGGGAGCTGTAGGAGAATATCACACAGCTGTTCAGCTTGGTGCCACCAACAGTTCATGATGTTCACTCTCACTGGGCTCTTAACGGTCCCGGGAAGTTCTTTTTAATTTCTCAAGCTATTTTATCTCTTTATTTCCCAAGTTTGCCTCAGGCTTATCCCCCACCCCTGTAGCAGTTTGTTTACAGTGCTATCTGATCATCTTATACTCCCTGTGTAGCCTTTCTGTGGCTCATCATTGCCCTGAGAATAAAATCCCAACCCCTTCCTTGAACCTCTGAGGCTCACTGTGACCTGGTTCCCACTTAGCTCCTAGATTCCTGTTATCCCCTCCCTATTACACGTTACTTGCTAACTGATTTGAACTGTGTTCCGTCTCTGGAAAGCACAGGCTCGCTAGGAGTTGTAGTCCAGGGGAAGAGATAGTAAAAGGAACAGCTCTTCCAATATGAAATGCCCATTTGTACTATTTGTACTGTGGAAGGACAGAAGAGGAGGTTTGTACTTTAATTCCTTGAAAATTAGTAATTTATATTTAGTGTACACATAATCTAATAAATTATTATTAGATAAATGAGATAATTTATTGAGTGGAACACACCATTTTCTAACTATTCTAATAAAATCTAATGTTGTGCAAGAACTAAACATGGAGAATATTTATGTTGTTAGATACCTTTAGCTTACAAATGGGCGTTAAATAAAGGGCTTTATTATTAAGTTCCTATAGCTCTCCAGCTCCTAGTACTCAAAAAATGGCATTATATTTACCAAAATTGAAGTGATACCCATCTTTTTTTTTTTTTTTTTTTGGCTGCGTCGGGTCTTAGTTGCGGCACGTGGGATCTTCGCTGAGGCATGCGGGATCTTTTGTTGCAGTGCCTGGGCTTCTCTCTAGTTGTGGTGTGTGGGTTCCAGAGCACGTGGGCTCTGTAGTTTGCGGCACGCGGGCTCTCTAGTTGAGGTGTGTGAGCTCAGTAGTTGCGGCACGCAGGCTTAGTTGCCCCGCGGCATGTGGGATCTTAGTTCCCTGACCAGGGATGGAAGCCGCATCCCCTGCACTGGAAGACGGATTCTTTATCACTGGACCACCAGGGAAGTCCCGAAACCCGTTTGTTTAAAAAAAAAAATGGTGTATCACAAAATAAATTTCTGAGTGCATTTCAGAAAACTTGATTTTTGAAATGTATCGTTGTTTTTGTTGAACTTACAGGAGAATCATGAAAAAAGTCTGCATGGAGCCATCTGAGCGACTGGCCAGTCTCCAGGCTCTGTGGGACAGCCAGACTGTGGCCGAGCAGGGCCCCTGTGGTGAGCATGCATTTTAAAACCAAAAAATAAATGGCTGGATGGCCGCCGTTTTGCCAGGAAGCTAAGTCTATTCCTAGTGTGCTACCGTAAAGGTACAATTACTTTTAAGGTGTAATTAGCACCGCACAGACTTTAGATTGGTGGACAAACATCCTATATTTAAGCTATATTGCATCCTGCTATGTACTTACTGTAGAACAGGGGGGAGAATCTTTGCTGTTTTCCCAAAAGGAGAGAATAATCAGCATTGTCAACATCGGCCATATTTAAGCTTTTAAATTTTAACTTAAAAAACATTTAGTCGAAAACCTGTCACATTTCTGTTGTATAATTCAGGTGGATTTTCTCAGATGTATGCCTGTGTTTGTGACTGGCTTGGATTTTCATACAGGGAAGAAGTACAATGGGTAAGTGTATCTGTACGCACGCACACACACACTTTCTCACACACACACCTGGAGAATATTCCAGTATTTGACTGGCTTATTTCGCTCTCTCTCTCTTTTTCCCCCCACCATTCATTGCTTGCTTAACATCTTCCTTCCTCAGATTACATAAAAATCTGCCTGTGTCATTGTCTGATTCTCTTTGCATCTCTCTTGCTTCCCTGATCCTCTACGGGGACTGTTTATATGACTGAATTATGTTTCAAATAGGATGTGGATACAATTTATCTGACACAAGACACCAGGGAATTGAATTTACAAGACTTCAGTCATCTTGACCACAGGTAAGCTTCTTTCTTTCCTTTCTTTCACTTCTGATTTTGCTTTCAGAGCTGCCCTTGTCTGTTGGTACTTATAAGTGTACATTATCTCCAGAGAATCCTTTTTTTTATAAGGGGAATCAGGAGAGCCTAAGAATCTCTAGATTTTGCCTTTTAAGTAAGAGTTTCCAGTGTGTTTATCACTACGACTGGTTTGGGATGGGGGTGCATGAGTGTACCTCAAGTCCAGGATTTACACTTATAAACTGTGGAAACAATTTAATTCTTAAGTTCTTATGCCAGCCCACAAATCTATATAATCTACCCTGTATATAAAATATAGTACTATTTTGCCTAATTGCCATTTAGAACATTTTTCTATAAGGGAACTTTATGCTAAAATCCTAACAAATGACTTTGAGTTTACAATTCCTTTATTGGGGATGGCTAGGGTTTATATGCATATATTGGTGGAAATCAGTTTGCCAATATCTACCTTATGATAGTGATAATAAAACACTGAAGCCTGTTACAAGTTATTTGAGAGACTTGTAGGTTTTAAGATGTCGACTTTACTATATGTAGGGCTGTGGCTTGTGTGATCAGGCCCCGGAGAAGAAACTTCATTCCGTTCCCCTTCTCCCTGTAAGAGCAGACCTAGCAAAGTGATTCTGATACCTGACAAAGCTGAGCATTGCAACCCGCCTCTCACCCCACCCCCCTGCCCCTGACAAGTCTTTCTGGTCATCTATCCCGGCCTATCTCCTAAACCCTGGAGATGCTGCTACTTATTTTAGGTGGGGAGATATGATAGCTCCATCGCAATGAATCTCAGCTTGAGAAATCTTTTCTCTCTGGAATGCAGAGAGAGAAACCTGAGATTCCAGGTGTACCTTTCATGCCATTTGGACGACTGGAATTGTAGAGAGGATGGTTGCCTCTTTTTACCACCAGCATCTTGCCCCCAAAATACCATTTCAGATTATTTTTCCACTTACCTGGCAGGGAGTCCAGAATTGTAGCAGAGTCCCCAAAGAGTTCTGGCCAACTGAATTGAGCAAAGAAAAAGTGTGCTGGATGGATATGGCCTTTGTGCACAGCCTGGGTCTACGGTGGATGGTGAAGCAGGCTCAGCTATGTCTGTAGATGTGGCTAAAGCCTAAAGCCCCCAGTTCTCAAGCTCAGATTTGATTCCTTTTTGTGGAACAGGCAGTTTTCTCTTGCTTAGAGCCGTTCTCCCTCTTCCTACATTTGAGGGAATGTCATACTCCCGTTTAGGGAAGATGTTTCCTGTGTAGATCATGAAAAAGTGCACTGAGAAACATAACGGGAAGATATTTTATTTTTTGTAAATATTTTTCAATAAAAACAGAAAATTGTATGTAGAATAAGATAGGAGTAGGTAGGCCTACAGTATCCAGTCTCAATGTTTTGGGTCCCAGGATCTCTTTATATTCTTAAAAATGGTTGCATTGTTCAAGTGGGTTTTATCTTTTGGTATTTATCATATTGGAAATTAAAACCAAAAAAAGTTTATTAAGTCCTTTAAAAATAATGTTAGTAAACCTATTACAGGCTATAGATACCTTTTTTTTTTTTTTTTTTTTTTTTGCGGTACGCGGGCCTCTCACTGTTGTGGCCTCTCCCGCTGCGGAGCGCACAGGCTCCAGACGCGCAGGCTCAGCGGCCATGGCTCACGGGCCCAGCTGCTCCGCGGCATGTGGGATCCTCCCGGACCGGGGCACGAACCTGTTTCCCCTGCATCTGCAGGCGGACTCTCAACCACTGCGCCACCAGGGAAGCCCTATATACCATTTTTATAAAAAATAACTATTTTCCAAAACAAAAATCAGTCAGCAAGAAAAGTGGAATCAGTTTACGTTTTTGGCAGATCACTTTGTTTTTTCTTTTTTTAACATCTTTATTAGAGTATAATTGCTTTAAAATGGTGTGTCAGTTTCTGCTTTATAACAAAGTTGAATCAGTTATACGTATACATATGTCCCCATATCTCTTCCCTCTTGCATCTCCCTCCCTCCCACCCTCCCTATCCCACCCCTCTAGGTGGTCACAAAGCACCGAGCTGATCTACCTGTGCTATGCGGCTGCTTCCCACTAGCTAGCTATTTTGGTAGTGTATATATGTCCGTGCCACTCTCTCACTTTGTCCCAGCTTACCCTTCCTCCTCCCCGTATCCTCAAGTCCATTCTCTAGTAGGTCTGCATCTTTATTCCCATCTTGCCCCTAGGTTCTTCTGACCATTTTCTTTTTCTTTCTTTTTTTTAGATTCCATATATATGTGTTAGCACATGGTATTTGTTTTTCTCTTTCTGACTTACTTCACTCTGTATGACAAGACTCTAGGTCCATCCACCTCACTACAAATAACTCAGTTTCATTCCTTTTTATGGCTGAGTAATATTCCATTGTATATATGTGCCACAACTTCTTTATCCATTCATCTGTTGATGGACACTTAGGTTGCTTCCATGTCCTGGCTATTGTAAATAGAGCTGCAATGAACATTTTGGTACATGATTCTTTTTGAATTATGGTTTTCTCAGGGTCTACGCCCAGTAGTGGGATTGCTGGGGCGTATGGTAGTTCTATTTGTAGTTTTTTAAGGAACCTCCACACTGTTCTCCATAGTGGCTGTATCAATTTACATTCCCACCAGCAGTGCAAGAGGGTTCCCTTTTCTCCACACCCTCTCCAGCATTTATTGTTTCTAGATTTTTTGATGATGGCCATTCTGACCGGTGTGAGATGATATCTCATTGTAGTTTTGATTTGCATTTCTCTAATGATTAATGATGTTGAGCATTCTTTCATGTGTTTGTTGGCAATCTGTATATATTCTTTGGAGAAATGTCTATTTAGGTCTTCTGCCCGTTTTTGGATTGGGTTGTTTTTTTGATATTGAGCTGCATGAGTTGCTTGTATGTTTTGGAGATTAATCCTTTGTCAGTTGCTTCATTTGCACATATTTTCTCCCATTCTGAGGGTTGTCTTTTTGTCTTGTTTATGGTTTCCTTTGTTGTGCAAAAGCTTTTAAGTTCCATTAGGTCCCATTTGTTTATTTTTGTTTTTATTTACGTTTCTCTAGGGGGTGGGTCAAAAAGGATCTTGCTGTGATTTATGTCAGAGTGTTCTGCCTGTTGTTTTCCTCTAAGAGTTTGATGGTGTCTGGCCTTACATTTAGGTCTTTAATGCATTTTGAGTTTATTTTTGTGTATGGTGTTAGGGAGTGTTCTAATTTCATTCTTTTACATGTAGCTGTCCAGTTTTCCCAGCACCACTTATTGAAGAGGCTGTCTTTTCTCCACTGTATATTCTGCCTCCTTTATCAAAGATAAGGTGACCATATGTGCGTGGGTTTATCTCTGAGCTTTCTATCCTGTTCCATTGATCTATATTTCTGTTTTTGTGCCAGTACCATGCTGTCTTGATTACTGTAGCTTTGTAGTATAGTCTGAAGTCAGGGAGTCAGATTCCTCCAGCTCCGTTTTTCTTTCTCAAGATTGCTTTGGCTATTTGGGTCATTTGTGTTTCCATACAAACTGTGAAATTTTTTGTTTTAGTTCTGTGAAAAATGCATTTGGTAGTTTGATAGGGATTGCACTGAATCTGTAGATTGCTTTGGGTAGTATAGTCATTTTCACAATGCTGATTCTTCCAGTCCAAGAACATGGTATATTTCTTCATCTGTTTGTATCATCTTTAATTTCTTTCATCAGTGTCTTACAGTTTTCTGCATACAGGTCTTTTGTCTCCTTAGGTAGGTTTTTTCCTAGATATTTTATTCTTTTTGTTGCAATGGTAAATGGGAGTGTTTTCTTGATTTCACTTTCAGATTTTCCATCATTAGTGTATAGGAATGCCAGAGATTTCTGTGCATTAATTTTGTATCATGCTACTTTACCAACTTCATTGATTAGCTCTAGTAGTTTTCTGGTAGCATCTTTAGGATTCTCTATGGATAGTATCATGTCATCTGCAGACAGTGACAGCTTTACTTCTTCTTTTCCAATTTGGATTCCTTTTCTTTTTCTTCTCTGATTGCTGTGGCTAAAACTTCCAAAACTATGTTGAATAATAGTGGTGAGAATGGGCAACCTTGTCTTGTTCCTGATCTTAGTGGAAATGGTTTCAGTTTTTCACCATTGAGGACGATGTTGGCTGTAGGTTTGTCATATATGGCCTTTATTATGTTGAGGAAAGTTCCCTGTATGCCTACTTTCTGGAGGGTTTTTATCATAAATGGGTGTTGAGTTTTGTCGAAAGCTTTCTCTGCATCTATTGAAATGATCATATTGTTTTTCTCCTTCAATTTGTTAATATTGTGTATCACGTTGATTGATTTGTGTATATTGAAGAATCCTTGCATTCCTCGGATAAACCCCACTTGATCCTTTTAATGTGCTGTTGGATTCTGTTTGCTAGTATTTTGTTGAGGATTTTTGCATCTATGTTCATCAGTGATATTGGCCTGTAGTTTTCTTTCTTTGTGACATCTTTGTCTGGTTTTGGTATCAGAGTGATGGTGGCGTTGTAGAATGAGTTTGGGAGTGTTCCTCCTCCTGCTATATTTTGGAAGAGTTTGAGAAGGATAGGTATTAGCTCTTCTCTAAATGTTTGATAGAATTTGCCTGTGAAGCCATCTGGTCCTGGGCTTTTGTTTGTTGGAAGATTTTTAATCACATTTTCAATTTCAGTGTTTGTGATTGGTCTGTTCATATTTTCTGTTTCTTTTTGGTTCAGTCTAGGAAGGTTGTGCATTTCTAACAATTTGTCCATTTCTTCCAGGTTGTCCATTTTATTGGCATATAGTTGCTTGTAATAATCTCTCATGAACCTTTGTATTTCTGCAGTGTCAGTTGTTACTTCTCCTTTTTCATTTCTAATTCTATTGATTTGAGTCTTCTCCCTTTTTTTCTTGATAAGTGTGGCTAATGGCTTATCAATTTTATCTTCTCAAAGAACCAGCTTTTAGTTTTATTGATCTTTGCTATCATTTCCTTCA